GAAAGTCGACTTTCAACATCCCATCTATGTTACACCTGGTAACTCTACCAAAGCTCTGGCGGGGACGCCCGCACCTACAGAGGAATTTACGAGCGACTGACTGAAGCCTTTCAGTCGCTGGTTAGAGGTGTAATCGCAGAGCTGTGACGTGTTCTGAGAAAGGTGACCACACAACCCAGCGGGAAGTCAATCAGTCGTCTTGTTTGCCCAGGTAAAAGCATTATCGGTGTAACTCGAACAGCAAACGTCACACCAATAGGTCAGGAAGCCTCAGAGCTGACCCTGCTTGCGTCACGGCGTTCCTCGGTCGTGCCGACATCCATTATTCCCGAGCGCCGGCGCACATCTGCTCCCCTATACCGCTTCTTTAAGAGGTTCACCAGGCCTACTTTGTTGTTCTTGTTTGTTTGCCCTCTCTAGCCGGGTTCCTCCTCCGCCCCGATTAGTTTTTAATCACTGCTCCGCTGTGTAAATGTGCTGATATGCAGCAGTGAGCTATGACAAGCCTTCAGTTTTCCAACCTGTTTACAACAGCTGCTTCTGTCCGGCTCGCCAGCACATGTAGCCCCCCCCCCCCACAGGCCTCCAAGGTCCAATTACTACCATGGTCCCATCAGCAGGGAGGGAGGATGGAAAACTTCTAATTTAACGTACGTGATTTTATTTTATTTTTGTGGGGGCGGAAACATTGAAATCTCTGAAAGGGCACGCTTGTGTTGTGTAGATGAGCTGCTTCTGGACTTTCCTGAGGATAATCACCTGTGCCACCATCGGCCCCAACTGTAAACGGCTTCATGCGCCTGGTTCAACAAGGAGTGTTTTCCTCCTCCTCCTTTCTCTGCACGACCGAATATGCAGGAATGCGTCTTTTTTTGTCGTTTGTGTTCACGTGTTTCTGGGTGTGGACGCTGCTTTTTACAGCTTTCGGGCCTGAGATCTCGGGAGGACGTCGCTGTGGCGAAAACGCAGCATTCTCCGCTCATCTTCGCAGGCACCCCGCTTGTTTTCGTCCGCCGCGGCGCTCGGGCTGCTGCTGCTGGCGTGGCACTCTGTTGTGGAAACAACAATGGTGGAGCCTGTGCGGCGGGGAGCGCTCACCCCCTGGCACCAAACGTGGCAGAGAAACGCTCACCCAGGCTTTCCAATAAACCCTCCCCTTCTATTCACTCCCTCCATCGCTGCATCGCCGGCTTCGGTTTCACCCTACTTCTTTCTCTTTTCTTTTTTTTTTAAACTTCTCTCCGGTTCTCCCACTCTCTGCAGTCTTGCCCGGCCTCTGCTCTCAATTTCGTCCTTTCTCTCGAGCCACAAAGGCCGCCATTCACCCTGGCCACTTACAGCCGAACAAAGCGCCCCCCCTCCTCCCTGAAAACGGCAGTAACGCTCCCACAGTCGGGGACTTCTGCCGTGGAGAGTCGCCCCTACGCTCCACGCCAGAGTCGCTTAACAATTACCGCTCACTGAGGGGGGTCACTGTTTTCCATCCCCTCTGTGTGGGAGAGGGGTGAGGCGTTGGAGCAGAGGGGAGCATCTGGCCCGCCGCCCAGACCGAGAGAGGGTAAAAGTGGATGGCTAAAAAAGGGCTGTTGGGGGTTTTTTTTGTGTGTGCGTAGGTGCAGAGAGCAGCAGAAAAGACTCAAACATGCAGAGTCATACCTTTTTTTGTAAAGTTCGAGGGCGGGGGGTAGGGGGGTGCTGCTTAATAGATGTTGCCACGGGTGAATTTTTAAAATCTTTTTTCTGCTGAACCTGCCATTATTTTATTTCATCTTAAATTTTTTGTCCTTCCCTGTGGCGGTTCTGTCTCTCTGTCTTTAACTTTGTGTTTTGAGGCACAGCTAACTGGGCCCGAAGTTCTGAAGAGGAGGAGGCCTGTTTTGTTTAGTTTTGTAAACATTTTCCAATCACTAGCAGAAGGTTAGACACGAGCGCAACACGGGTGTCTGCGTTGTTTAAAGGGCTCTCGCGCCTCCTCGTGCGGCGCCATCTTATTTGGAAGGGAGGAAGGCCAAATGGTGTTAGTGGATGTGCCTCTGGACCAGCAGCAGCAAATGGTTTGCGTTAGGAATTCCCTAGCGACAGCTCGCCATCTGAGCGCACGGACGCGTTTGCCTCGCAGATAAATGTCATCCCACATGTAAACAACAGAGCCTACTGTAAGCAGTACCACACGGCACACTTATGGAACCCCTCTCAGGGATAGGGTCAGGCTAGAGAGTCCTGGATCGAGTTAAAAAGGACCAGAGTTTAAGTTGTCCAACTGATTTGTATTTATTTTTAAGTTAACAGGCTAAAACATAGCGGTTTCTTATAAAACCACAAGTATAAATTACCTGCACAGATGGCTTGAAAAGGTGTGAAACTTTAAGACAATGTGTGGTTTGTACAAGTATACACTTTGTGTGTGTCACATCATGGGAAGAGGAAAGTAAGGAGTTCTCCAGGTGAGAAAGCAGAGAGGAGAGCAACAGATTAAATGGATGTTGCTCAGAGAACAGAGTTGGAGGAGAACCACAAAAATATTATATTGGGGGCAAAACCGCAAGGTTCTTTTATATGTTTTTCCCCATCCCTTTGAGTGTCGTTTTCAAAAGACAAATGGTCACAGAGCATCAGATGACAACACCAAAGAGCAAAAAGCCGCACAGAGGTTACAGCGGGTTGGGGGGGGAAATAAAGGCTTTTTAGCTGAATTCTTTTTACTGAAGTTTGCGTGTGGGACGGGGTGTGTTTTGCTCTCCCGGCAGACGGCACTCAGTTTGGGAGCCGGCCTGTGCCTGCTGCTTCTCCCACAAACGCACAAGCACACTCTTGTTGTTCTGACCGGCTCCTTCCTGCTTTCCCTCTATAGCAGAGCCCATATATGGCAACGACTTCCAGCCTCACAGTCTGTGACACATCTTTGACTGGGCTTCTCCCTTTTTTTTTCTCTATTTTTAATTTGGTTTTTAATGTTGAAGCAAATCCCCCCCCCCCCCTCTTTTTTTAAATGACTGGAACATAGTTGACTTTCTAACCTGCGACTTCTTTTGTTCCCCGTCCTGTGGGGCCGATAGATAGAAACACCGTTCCACATGTTTAGACTTTTGACAGAGCTTTAGCTTCCTCTGCTAGTCAAAACCAACCAGACAGGTCTCTGTTTTTTTACTCCCTGCTGCTTTTCGTCCTAACTCCTCTTTGGTGTCCTCTCAGGACTCTGCTCACTATTCAAACCTGGCTTGTTTGTGACCAGCAGAGGGTTTTCTTTGGTGGAGCTAATATATATCAGCAAGGAGAAGGGGGAAAAAAAAAGAGCCTTCATGGCGGAGCTGCCGGGGTCTTAAGGGTTTGCTGGGCCGTCTGGAATGCTGCTACCTCTGCGGGAGGGGCACGGAGCGGAGTTCTCCTCTGACGTCAGCTCAGCGCTGACAAGCCGGAGGAGGACGATGACCCGGCAGCACAGCCACTTAAAGACACAACGGTCCAGCAGAGGAAGGTCGGGGGTGGGGGGGGTTCTTTAGTTTACACTAAAGGAAACACACTGCACTTAAACCATGAATCCGAATCTTGGCTTATAACTGTCTCTGAGCACCGTTTAGCTGGTGTGGACATAGTTTCTTTCTATAGCCGAGTTTACAAACGAACCAAAAAAACTCTATTACCCATAATTCAACATGCTGGAAGCTTTGTGTTTAACGTCCACAGCCGGGCTTTTAACAGAAACGTCAGAGTCCCGACCTGTTGCTGCCGATCCCGATTTCCCATAAAGGCCGGGAATCTGATCCCAGCCTTTATGGGACGGCTTTGTTTTTCCGAGTTCGGAGCCCCCCCACAAGTGCGGTTTCAAATCCTGAGCCTCTTTAAGTCTGAGCGATCAGAATCGGAGGGGGGGGATTCTGCGTTTGTCAGAAGGGCTGGTGGGGTTTTTCTGTCCCCGCCCTCTGATGCAGTATGTTTTTAGTA